CCTGATTATTTGTGGCTGTATTTCAAGAAAACTGAATCAAATTAATCTCTCCTTGAAGACTTCAAGCATTGTTATAATGCCTCATGGGACCATATAAAAAGGGCCCCAAACCAATATGAAATAGAAACCACGGCTGTAAAAAGGACCACGTGTATTAGCAATGGGCATAGGGTACTAAGAGAAATTCTTGGCTGGTTTGTGTACTTGACCTCATTCCTCCAAACCAAGTGTCTCTGGCAAGGCCACATAACTAAGGACAGTCCCCTGAGTGACTTAGTCAAAGGAAGTATGAAGTGAAGCTGAATAGTTCTGACATTTAAGTTGTCATGGAGACAGGGTCCATCAGAGGCAGCCCAAATCCTCCTCTCTTTTGCCATCACTTTAAGTAATTCAGATGGAAAACCCTAGCTGCTGAATACTGATTCTTTTCTATCGCTGATGTATTTCTTTTCCCTTCTGGGGGAGTCGAGCCCCGAGGTGGCTATGGCAAAGTCTTTAGGTGACGGACTTTGAGCCCTGAGAGGTCACCGAAGAGGCCGGGGGAAAGCTCTGATCTGCGGTCCTTTCAGACAGGTGTTCTCCAGGGAAGGCATCTCTGCAGTCTTCCTGGTAATGTAACCAGCACGTGCCGGAAGTCTAGAAGCTTAAGCTCAGTCCATCTCCATCATCAGGGCATGATAGAAAAAGGGGCACCTCCTTTTGACAGTGGGGTTCAAGATCTTCTCTCTATCTCAGTGGATCAGGGTGGGTAACATGATCGCGATGGGCCTCTGGAGAAGGTGCAGCAGCATGACCCAGCGTGGTCCGAGGCCCCAGCTGGGAGGAGCAGCAGCTTCCACCGGGCTGGACAGCAGGGCGCGGCAGAGCAGGGTCCAGGGCGTGCAGCCACACCCTGACTCTTCCGGCCACGCCTTCTTCTGGTACCAGGGAGGCTCTGGCTGCGGGTGAAGGGCAAACGTCTCTTTGATTTATGATCTGAGTCTGGACTTGAGCCTAGCAAAGGCATTTGGAATAAGTGATCAATTTCTTTCTCCCAGTTCTTAGATCTATCCCTTTATGAATCTATGGATGGGAGGTTGGGAGGGGCATGGATGTCAAAATGAGTTTGCCATCTTTCATTAGGTTCTTCTGGCTAACCACAGGACCAGAGATGTTCACCCGGTGCGCTGCAAGAATCGTTAAAACACGCAACATCTGACTATCGAGTCAGGTGCACTGACCTCTTTTCCCGTGGATTGTCAAATAAGAAGTGACAACAGCCAACACAACAATAGCCGTCCAGTGTGAATGAATCAAAATTCCACCTTTTTTTTTTTTTTTTTTTTTTTTGTCAGATTGGCAAAGTGTATAATATATTTTTTGGAGTGCTACAGAATTCTAGTAATTCCTTTATGCGGGCCATGAGATGAAAAAGATTAAAAATCACGTTTGTCATGGGAAATCTGAGACAGAAGCAGGGATCAGGAATGAAGACTCGCAGGACACACCTTCTCTGCAAATACAATGCCCAGAATCTTCTGAGCCACTGGACTTGCCTCAGACAACATGCCGACCCTGGTCCACTTGGCTTCCCGCCTCTGGCTTGCGGGAGAGCTTCTCAACCGGCAAACAGACGCTTTGGAAGGTTGAGGCTTAAAACGTGTTTTGCCTTCTAGTTGACGTTCCTGACTGTTCGCCCGGATTGAGGTCCTTGCTCTGGGCCCTGGGAGGTGGGGGAGAAGGGGAGTGGGGAGGATGCCACCTGGCTCACAGGTGGCTCCTGTTCTCCTGAGCAAATGGAAGGGCAGGTTCAAACACAAAAGAAAAAGGCAGAGAAGCTATGAGAATGTTTAGGGTAATTTCCCCCACCAGCAGGGTACGGATGCAGGGAGTCAGGCTGCAATCAGGCAGAACCCGAGTGTTCCTTAAGAAAATGTTCCCTATTTTTGTGTGCCTTGGCACGCTCAGGGTGGAATGCCAGGGTTGCCATGGCAACATCCTTTTTCTTAAAAAAAAAAGATTCGTCACATGGGACCCACATACATTCTGGAAGCCACTGCTAATAGTTTCCATGCTGGGCCCTATTTGGGGGCTCTGTCTGCTTCTGGAGTGATGGGTGACGGCTTCTTTGGGGACCAAGGACATCAGGGTCTGTATCCCTTGCTCACAGGAAAAATGTCTCCTTGATCATCCCTGTGTGGTCTGGGGTGGGGGGCACCCATTCTTGCAACAAGGATGAGCCAAGCTCAATTTGCTAGTCACTCAGCCGCCCGAGAATACACTCCTGTGTCTGTTAGCTCGGAGCACAGGGGGAGAGTTGGGGTCCTCGCTCTTCTTTCCTGCAGAGATTACTGTGGCTCCCACTGGGGCCACAAGACATGGGGACCAGGACCTTCTAGAGTCTTCATCCTTGAGTATCCCAAGCCCAGTGACAAGCGTGCTGACGGGTGTGGGGCCCTGGAATGCACTGTGTGGACGGGACTGGGGCCAGGGCTGTGGGCTGCCTGATGGGGACGCCCAGCTCCTTTGACAGACCATCTGGACAGAGCAGCCAGGGTGCAAGTCACTGGGACAAGCTCTCAGCTCTCGAAGTCTCAGAGATGCCACTGCTCCACACACTGTCGGACGTGGGTGGGGGTGTGAGGTTACCCTGGAGGAGGTTACTTTCTAGCCCATCAAAGAAAGTTCTGTGTATTCCTTCATGTCCTCTCTCCCCAGAAACCGCACAAAGGATGCACTCTCTGAGATTTTCTCTGGGGTAGGCCATGCGGCTTCCCGATCACTAGGTCACTGGGTCACTGGGATCGGAGAGAAGTCCTCTTTGGGGAGATGATGCTGAGGACTTTGTAGGGAGTAGATTGTTGGTGCCTTTCCAGAACTCTTGCTCATCTCCACTCCTGCATGGTGGCTAATCTGTCTTCCAATAAAGGCTCACCCTCACGTCTATGGGGTCCCCTTCCCCCTTGGAAGGCAGAGACCTGCAGAAAGGCAGCCTTTGGAGAAGTACTCTTTTGTAGTCCAGCCTACCCATCGCATTGCAGTCCCCTTTCATGGGGCATGGTCCTTTAAGAAACATCCCTGGGGTCTCTACGCAGTTGACTTAGGATCCCGTACCCCCCCATATGACATGATCTAATGGTTCAGGGGGTCCTTCCCACCCAAGTTCATTTGAGAGAGGGAAGGCCAGCTGCTTTGGGTGGAGCTAACCATGAAGCTGTCCTATTAGTATTCTGTGTTTGGACCTGTTCTTGTTCAGGATTCTGATGGGGGGGGGGTTGGTGAGTCACTCAGGGGAGAGGGGCAGGCAGATGTGCAGGGTGTACGGGGGCAGGGCAGGGCGGGCAAGAGGGCCAGGCAGGCTGGTGCTTTCCCGGCCTGGATGTGCAGGATCCCAGGCATTTTCACGGAGACTCTAACCCCTGGGCCCTCGAAAGCTCACACCTGCGCCCTCCTCTGTACTATGGCTCAGACCCTAGTTTTTCTTGTGCTCATCATGGATATTCTCAGTCTCCCACAGTGGGGAAGTTCCTACAGCGGCCCCCAGGCTGTTGCCTGGAGTGCTTGCAGAGGTGAATTGGAAGAAGACCCTAAACGGAGACCTTGGATGCTCCAAGTCCGAGAAGGCAGTAGGAGGGAAGCGGAGAGGAAGGGAAGGCTTGAGGAGGGGTTCGGGAACACACCCCCCGCCAAAAAGCCTACTTGGCTGTGGCGAGAGAGGAAAGATTCCGGCGCCTCTACACTGGAAGAAAGGGGAGAAGCATGTAGCTTTCGGATGTGATGGGAAGAAAGAGGAGCAAGACAATTGCATTATAGAAATAAAGACCTGAGCTTGGAAAAGTACAAAGGGAAAGATTCCATTGAAAGATTACTGGCTATTCAGACTATGCAAGCTTGAATTAACAGTGTTGGCTGACATGACATCTAGGAAAAGTCAGGAAATCACAGGCTTGAAATGGTGTTGAAAACAGACTACTGGATTCAGTTTCCTTCCCCACTAGAAGTATTCTGCAGGCAGGAGTAGATTCCCTGCCCTGCTGGCTAAGCTCATTCACATCTTCTTGTGTTCTTCTTTTTTTTTTTTCTTTCATGGAAATGAGTCTGTTGCAGGATCTGAATGCCTGAAGATGTTACTTAAGATACAGAAGTTTGATATTTCCATCTTTCCAGTCTTGTTTGTATTTCTCTTTTTATCTGGGGAAGACTAACTTACAAAGCAAATTGTAAGATGAGGAAAAGGTAAGATGCATGAGGACCTTAACCCACAGAGGTCTTCTGGCTGGGAGATGTGTGTGGGCTCCATCACTGCGGACAACTGGGGTGCCGGCTGCAGCACCTCACCACCAGTCTCGGTCCCCATCCCCCAAACTGCCGCTCCCCCCAAAAGAGGCCGGGCGGTGGGTCAGAGGACAAGCTTCTGTCAGGAGTAAGCGATTAGGGGAGAATGATGTCACACATGAAGAAGCCAAATATATATGTCTATCTACGTGTCTATGAGATTACAGAGATGCCCACGGGTATGCTGCTTCTTCTTTAATGGCAGCACAGGCAGCAAAGCTGGGAGGAAGGCTCTCTGCAGATTCCAAGATGCTGGTGCGTGATGGGCTATAGGAACAGAAAGCCAAGTGCAGATGGAAACCGAGAACTCCCCAACTCTGCCAACGAGAGTCCTGTAGAAAAGGCCGTAGGAACGGAAGCGTGGGAGCAGCTGCAGGCTGCCAGGTCCTGCGCCCCACCCGACGGTTTTCCCCCCACACCTCGGGGGGCTCCTCAAGGTGGAGGAAGAAAGCCAGGGCCAGATGGAGAGCCCTCTCTTCTGCAGCGACCCCGAAGTCATCCCTTGGGTTGCCCTCGGGGGTCTCCCGCTGCCCCCTGGGTTGAAAGAATGGGGTGTGGAGGTGACTTCGTGTTCACACCTCTCCCTGGCGCTCTTACCCCGTTGGCCTGGGTGGCCATGGAATCCCGAGATGAAAATGAAGTTTCTCTTCGGAGTTCCAGCAGGTGGGTGAAGCAATCATCCGGAACTCCTGGCTATTTATTGCATTAGGAAACAAAACCATTAAAGCATTTAAGACAGCCCTTTTGTGTCCCTGCCAAGGAGATGAAGGGGACTTGCAACACCGGTTGCACTGCAACCTTGGGTTCTTCACTGAACTGAGCCGCGTCTGCATCATCCAAATCTGCTTTTGAGGAGGAACAGTCTGCCGCAGGGCAGGCGCATGCGCAGTGAGCTGGGACCGCAGCAGCGTGGTGGCGGGAGGCAGCTACTCCATGCCGCTCCGCAGGATCTGGTTGGCGGCAATCAGCATGACGCTTATGATGAAGGCCATGGCGAAGGCGCAGATGAGGCTCTTCCGCACACACGTCTGTCTGTTCTGTTTCTGGGAATGCACTGGAGGTGGGGGAGGGGGAGGGGAAAGAAGAGAGACACGACACTGTGAGACAGGCTGCACCTCTTCCTCGACCAGCTCAGAGCCCAGTGCACAGGATGCAGACCGGTCACATCCAGTCCACGGGCATTTCTGGGGCTGCTCCCCCAGGAGACTGAACGGCACGTCCTCTGGCTAATGGTATAAGTGATGAGGCTGCCATAACAAAGACCATGACAAATGTGATGTTCAGAGTAAGGTACAAGCTTCCAGATGTCATAGAGTTACAGTGACTTTCCGAGTGAGGGAACAGGGACCCTTTCAGAGTGAGTTGCGCAACGGGCACCATCCAGGCGCTGCTCTGTCCGTCTCTGCGGAAAGCCCGCCGCCAGACTGAGGCCGCTGACGTCAGGTAGAGTGGGGTCCCTACATTTTTTTTCTATTAATTTATTTTTGTTACAGATGATTCTCCTTTTTCCCTCATTGACACCCTCCTCCCCATCCCCCACCCCATCTCCCACCCCATCCCCAGCCTTGTTGTCTTTGTCCATTGGTTACGCATACATGCATATAAGTTCTGTGGTTTATCTCTTCCCTCCCTCCACCCCCCTCTTCTGAGGTTTGTCAGTCTGTACCCTACTTCTATGTCCCTGTGTCTATTTTGTTCATCAGTTTGTTTTGTTCGTTGTATTCTACAAATAAGTGAGATCATGTGATATTTGTCTTTCTCTGTTTGTCTTGTTTCACTTAGCATAATACTCTCCAGGCCCCTCCATGTCGTCTCAAAGGATAAAAGATCTTTCTTTCTTACAGCTGCATAGTACTCCATTGTGTACATGTACCACAGCTTTTTTATCCACTCATCTACTGGACACTGGGCTCTTTCGAGATCTTAGTTATTGTAAATAGTGCTGCTATGAACATGGGGGTACATATATTCTTTCTGATTGGTGTTTCAGGCTTCTTAGGGTATATTCCTAGAAGTGGGATCACTGGGTCAAATGGCAGTTCAATTTTTTAATTTTTTGAGGAAACCATATTGATTTCCATAGTGGCTGCACCTGTCTGCATTCCCACCAGCAGTGTACTAGAGTCCCCTTTTCTCCACACCCTCGCCAGCACTTGTTGTTTGATGATTTTTTGATGGCAGCCACTCTGGCAGGTGTGAGGTGACACCTCATTGTTGTTATCATTTGTCCCTCTGATAATTAGTGACGTTGAGCATTTTTTCATAATGTCTCTTGGCCATTGAGGTCCCTACATTTCCATACTGGGCTGGAAGCAACTTACCTTTTCCAGAATTGCTCTCGGGTGGCTACCGGTCCAGATGGCTCTAACATCCTGGCATTATTTCAGCTGTGCCCACCAGTGATTCTAGAGAGGGGTCCCTAGGCAAGTGCATCTGCATCACACTGAGCTTACTAAAAATGCAGATTTTCAGGAGGGGCCTTACTCCAAGCCTTCTGAATCAGAGACTCTGGAGGCGGGGCCAGGGATGGAGGTGTAACTGGGTGATCCCGGTGTGTGCTGCTGTCTGAGAAGTGGGGACCGCATGCACTGTGGACAAGACCAGTGTGAATCAGGGAGGCACAAAACCTTCTCGGACTTTCCGGAGGCAGAGGAGTCTGGCCTGAGGTCCTGGTGTACTCGTCATCCATTTGTTGGGCCAGGTCTTGAACCACCATTTTCATAAGGCCCGTGAGACACCATTAGTGGGTTGCAATCACAAGGCATTAATTAGCAGGCTACTCATATGGACCAGAAACAGAGAAATGGGAATAACAAGAAAACTTTTGGCAACATTTGCTGAGAAAGAACAAGTCTCTTCCAGGCGTTGCTTCCCAGGCCAGATTTCTTTCTCTTTCTCCTTTCTGTCCACACCTCCTCCCCTCCTGGCCCCAGTCCTGCGGTGAGCTTTGCACACAGTCTACCACTTAGTTTATGAAAGAAATCTGTGCCCTGGAGGCACTGGACCAGCAGCATCAACACCATCTGGGAGTGAGATGTAAATGCAGATTCTTAGGCCCCACTGTAGAATTACTGAATCAAAATCCCTGGGGGTGGAGGCCAGGAATGTGTGTGTTGAATAAACTCTCCAGGTGATTAGGGAATCCCCAGAGGTTTTGATTCAGTATGTCTGGGTACAGCCCAAACCTCTGAGTTTGAGTTGCTGGTGTGTGTGTGTGTGCATGCGTGCGTGTGTGCGTGTGTGTGTGTGTGTGTGACATTGGGGTGGGGGTATTAGGGGAGATAGTTCTCTATATTCAGATGTCAACAAACCCAGTGTCAGCGCAGAAGAACATTTTCAGATTCCCTTCCATTTCAAAAAGGGGCCCTTCTGCTAGACACACCTTTAAAGAGCCTTTAAAAATGTTCAGTTTTAAGTACCTCTCCCCCATGACATCCAGGGGCTCCTCCAGATCCCTGAAAATAACAGGGACGTAGCAGCAGTCTGGTGATGTCCAAAGGCAAAAAGAACCCTCCCTGAGAGAAGGACCCTCAGAGGGTGGTCAAGGGTCTCTAAAGTCACATACATCAGGGAGTTTCTCCAGCAAGACCCGCTTCACAGAGACCCAGCGCCAGGCGCGGCTCCCGGCGCCCTCGTCAATACTTGTTGGTTATTTCCGCCACCATCGCTTGTTTTCTTGAATTCTCGTTATCTTTTATCTTGTTATCTTTAATTCTTCTGGATCCACCAGGCTTCTGCTTCCTTGGGTGATTGAAAGTCTTTCTGGTTCAGTTCTGCATTTACCAATCATGTCTGGGTTTTAGAGTCCCCTAGGTGCTTAGCAGAAGGAAGGAAATTCTCTTGTGCAGAACGGCGCCTCCCCAGGGTGGGCCCACGTGAAGAGATGCCAGCCCTCGGGAAGGGAAAGGAGGTGGCGTTTGAGAAGGGAAGGACTGAAGCAGAAATAAAATGCGATGAGGAAGTAGCGTATCTAACACTTTCTGAGGACTGGCGAATTTATCCTGAGCAGCTCCTCAGCATGAAGATGCTTCTGCAGGCAGTCAGCTGCCTTTCTGTCCCGAGGCCTGGCGAGGGCTTAAGGAAAACAACAGGGGTGTGCACGGGCCGAGGGAGGGTTGTTGCTGAGGCCCTTCGTGACGGTCACTCGGAAAACAAGGTTGCAGGCAGCAGGAGGATCTCCCAGGACAGAGGCTGCACGTTTGATCTAAAAATCCTTAAGTAGCAGGAGGGGAGAGATGAGGAGGGATGAGAAGCCAGGAGACCTAGTAGTTTGTACGTGAGACCAAGCTGAGCTGAACCCACACCGGAGTCCTGCAAACAGAATGGAGCTCCCGGCTCATTCCCTGGTAGCTCTGAAGCAGGTTAGCCTTTGTCTGTAATTCAGACTCTGCCTTGATGGGAATCCTTCCATGTCCTGTTCCACCGTCAGCGTGGATTTGCAGCAGAGTGAGGAAGTGAGGACTTCAGAGCCAGACTCCAATGTGAACCATGATCATCTCACCCCCAGCTGTGTGACTTTCCAGGGCCTCGATTTCCTCACCTCTAAAATGGGGGTAATAAGTCCTACCTTGTGGTGAAGATTAATTGTGCCCATTGAATGTGAATTCCCCTTTGTACATTTCTTAGAAACTCCCCCCCGTGTGAGCCAGGTACACGTCACGTACTTTATACGTGTCATTGCAGAATCGCAGTGTGGCAGTCCTTCCTGAGCTGGGTGTGGGGTCACACTTAATAGGTGAGGGACCTGAAGCTCCAAGAAGTCCAAGGTCACTTGGCAAGTGGAGGAGGTGGGATCTGAGCCCAGGTCTAATTTAATATCCAGGTTCACAATGTCTGCACGAACTCTCTCTTCTGAATCTTTTTCTTGGCAGGACAAAGTTCTTTGTAATAGATACAAAGAAAATGCACTTTCAACACTTGGTGTGATTGGCAGCGTACCATCCGGCACTAATTAAAGTGTTCGTTGGTCATTTAAGGCCTGTCTTTGGCTAGCACACACTCGCTTTGCACTATAGTTCGTATATTTATTTACTCTCTCTGTCTGCACTTTGTTTCCCCAGTGAGTTGAGATGTGGTTTCTTCTAACTGCCACTGAGGAGCGGCCCTGGGCCTCCCGAGCCCGTTTCTCTCCCTGCAAAGGACCTAATGGTAACTGTTCTTCTTATCTCAAGAATTCTTTCCAAGATCAATGAGCTAATAAAACAAGTGAAAGCTATGTCCAACCTTGAATTACAAGAGAAAAGGTAAGGTTTCCTTCTCGCATCTCTGGAGGGCGAGGGAAAGGCCTGCTTGCTTTCCTCCCGTGCCCCCCAAAGCCTCCGGCACAGCGCCGAGGACACAGCAGAGGACCCCAGACCTTCGCTTTGGTCCCTTCCCTCACTAATTCATCCCTCACCACAGCTAACCTCACCTTCCTAAAGCAGCGCACGGTGCGCATGCAGCAGCACTCCTTGACCCTTCCTGCGAAGGCCCCCTTGCTGGGAGATGCATGCGTGTTCCCTCCAGCTCCTAAGCTCAGTGGGGAGGACCACAGATCACCTCCTGTCCCTTTCCCACCGCCCCTCCCCCAACAACCTCTGTCTCAGCCAAGCAGGTCTCTCTCTGGCTGTTCTTTACACGAGGCTCTGGTGCTGTTCACACCGGTCCCTCTGTGAAGAGGTGTCCCTGACGCTCCCTCTCATTGCTTCTGGGCCTAACCCAAACTTTACCGCCCCAGGAGGCTTCTCCTGAGCATCCTGCTCCCAAAGGGCCTGGTCTTTTAATTTATTTTAATGGTCTAGCTGTTAGTATTTTAGTTATTTTGAATTGAGATAGAATTCACATACCCTAACATTTGCCCTTTTAGAGTGAACCATTCAGTGGCATTTAGTACATTCACAAGGTTGTGACACCATTACCACGACCTAATCCCAAAACGTTTTCACCACCGTAAAAAGAAACCGCATCCACGTACAAGTCACCTCCCTCCCCCTTCTCCCCAGCCACTGGCAGTCACTAATCCACTCTCTGCCCCTACGGATTTCCTTATTTTCGGCATTGCATAGAGATGAACCA